CGGACGCGAAACGTCAAGGTCGACGCGCGCGCCATCTGCGACGAAGAAATTAAAAAGATTGCCGCGCGCGGCCGTGACAAATGGCCGAGTAAATAGAAGAATAAAGGGAGCGGAAACGTCGACTGGGGAGAAGGGTGGACGCGACTGTCGTTAGATAAGAGTAACTTAACGAGCGAAATTAGTGAAGCACCATTGCGACAAAGCTCCCGTTGATTGCGAGCGAAAGACTAATGGCCACCCGAACATTTCCGCCCTTTCCGATTGAAAACGTGCCTCTTGATTAAGCGTTAACGTCCCGGAGATCCGCCCATAAGTCTTCGATTCTTTAATAAAGCTGGTTCGGGAATTAATGAGGTGAGAGAGGACCATTCATCATGCGGAGAATGGCCGACCCGGTCCGCTAATTGCCACGCCGCCTTCGTTTTGTGTACTCGACATCGAAAGTCCGCCGAATTTATTTAATGCGGGAAGACTCGAGGACTCGGAACGGTAATATTTTATGATTTTCCGTAGCTTTTCGTTAGCGTAGATGAGTTTTCTAAATACCCGAATAGCGCAAGGACGTTCTGAAAGGTAATGTCCAGTAGCCCAATTCGTTGTACGACTATAAAAATTCTATCCCAGTATTTGGTACTCGCGTGTGATGGAATTCACTTATTGAGTATCGTTGGTGAAGTCATTACTGGAATAGTAGCCGATTTTCTATTGTAAATATGAAAAAAATGTAGTTATATAATGTAGTTATATAATGTAGCAACAATATAGAACAACCTAACCTAAAGTATCTTAAAAATAGAACTAAACTCTAAAATAATAACTAATATTTGACAGGTTTTCTGTCATTCTTTGATGACAGTAGCCCTTGTCAGCCAAGCAGCTATTGAATTCGCACATTGTTTTGATGGTTGTGATGTGTTTGCCTTCTTATCCGCATCTGAAAATATTTTAGTTTTGAGAAAGACAGGTTTTATATATCTGTACTTTATAAAAAAAAAAGAACGAGACTGGTATCTTATATGTTTAAAAAACAGATTTAAAAAATCCCTACATCCTCCTTTTCGTAAAGGCTTAATTTGACGCTCATAGTACTCTCATGAAAGTGATCTTAGGTGATGTAGGTATACATTTCATTTCATTAAATACAAACCTCATTAAACTCTCATCGGTAAGATCTCTTTCATGAGAGTAGGTACTATCGCCCTCAAAAAGAAAACTAAAACAAATACGATTTTTTTTTCATGCGATATTTTTTGTCAACCCAAAGAGTTTCCTAGTTTTTTTTGCTCGTGATGGTACCTATTATCACTAAGAAAACAAGCCTCAAAAAATGGGAAAAACGTTTTCATGAATTTACCCAACAACCATTTTAATGTGAAAATTGTACTTTATGCAAGGTGATTCCTAAAATTAATACTTTGTTTTTGGCGGCTGATTCTCGCATCCATTTTAAGAAAAAAATGTAGTAACTACATATATTGTAAAACTAAAAATATGATTTTTTTCTGAGGGATTTTCTCTAACTTTGTTTACTTAAATAAAAAAGTAGTTTAGTTTTGTATGCCTAAATTGAACTTCTCAAAAAACATGAAGAGAAAGTGGATTTTATTTTTGTTTTCAAAAACTAGGCAATAAGATACGAAAAGAAGTCTAGAATCAAAAAATATATGTAGTCTGACACGTATAATATAGGTAAATAGGTTACAAAAAAGTCAGTTTCATCTAAACTCGGTCCAGCAATCAGACCTCGCTATCTCATTGACCTAGCAAAATAATAAAAAACTAGGCATGATGTTGGTAGACTACACAACAATGGTTCGTTCAGCTTAGAATTTATCAAATCTTATGTTATATATTACTATAAAGCTTTACTCGCATGAATTATTAGTTCTTCAGTAATAATAATACCACCAAAAAAAATAACGGAAATGAAATCACTGAAAGCAGTAAGCACAGCACACAAAATACTCAAAATAGATGCCAACAAAAACAAGGCTGAAAAGATGGCGGACGACGAGACGGAGGAGAAGCCGACGAGACTCGAGCGAGTCCGGCACGGCACGACCGCGAGTAGAGAAGATATCTCTGCGATGTATTTTACAGTATATCCTTAGTATATATGCTAACGTATATCCTAAGAATATCCTCCCGTCCCGGGACATGCGACTAAAATGGGACATTGATATTGTCTTCTATCTGGGTATGCCGTATGTTTGATAGCCGCTGATAAGGACGACTTACCGATTGGAAACCATGGTAAACGCGGACCTCGATCGGTATTCCATGACATAATTAAAATAAGGTTAATGGTAACGCTTGTTTTATATAATAATCCTGATCCGACAAAACAATAATTGCTGACCAATTAGAATACTGCTGTTAGTTTGGATTACGGTGCGAAATTTAAACTGAATAGGTACGTGTTTTATCGGCACACATATGTAAGTATTTTCGTGACATGTTATTTTTGAACAACCTATGCTTGTGACCATTTACTTGAAGTATTTTTGACCAATAAACATTTATTTATTATAAATTGTAATTATGGGATTTATAATAAATCTGACCATGTGTTTATGCTTTTTTTTATTCGTTTTTTTTATTGGAAGAATAGCGATATATCAACATTCCAATGGACCAAGCATTGGACATTATCCAACGGTAATATGAAGGTACTGTGGGAAAAACTCATCTTTAGCCACTATGTAGAAGAAAAAAGGAAAACCCATAATCAAAGCCCTGCTGCCCCATGTCAAACGACCAACCGACAAAATAAGCAGAGTGAAATAAAATAGAAACAATTTTTAATACTAAAAACGAAAATTCCGCTAGAGAATCAAGAGACTTTATAAAATACGCTGCAGAAACTGCGATAACAGCTATATTGGCCAGATAAACAGAACGAACATTAGAATTGCAGGATAAAAGCGACAAATATATTAAGAGAAGCCAACCTAATAGGAAAACCTCCAAATTATCTGATTTGAATCTAGATTATAGGAAATTTTCTCAATATTATATATCTTATGTCATACAATTTAGCTTTTACTGCTAGTGTGCCTTATGAATATTGAAAATTAAGAAATGAAACATACGTAAACACTGATGAAAGTTTTTGACAGTAATAATATGTCCCACTTCTCAGCACTTTCTGTTATCAATATTACTTTTCTTTTTTTTCTATTCTCTTCGTTCCCAATTTTCTTTCCTTGTTCGGTGGCCGTTTTAAACTTCCTAAACTTGCTAAACGGTCGTTGATACCAAAATAGCGCATGTATGTAAGAAATGTAAATGTAACAAATCCGAAATTAAACGCAAAACATCGCAACCTGTCTTTCGTCAAATGCGATGCAATCGGCTGCATCATTCCTGTCAACTTGAATTTGTCGGATCAGATATGCGGAATCTATCTCGTCGATCGATCATTTTGAATTTCAATTATAATGTGGTTCGAATCTAACGAACTTTATATGAAAGGATATTCGCTAATAATAACATTATTGAAAAAGTAGTTACCTTCGGCTCAAGTGGTACTAATCCTAATTGATGCAGAATGTTACTTTATACAAATGTTGTTTTATTGGCAGGAATAATAATCAACCAAAGATTACTAGCAAAGTGTAGCCAGTGACTATTCATACTTAACCTCTGAGGTATTTACAGCATAATTATAAACAATAATTGTTTAATAGAGCAAATTCCAAAATATTTTTTAAATTTGAATTAAATTAAATTAGAACAAAACATCATAACTAATGAAGTTGTAACAGGTATTTAAATTTTTCCCGCATCTGGCGGATGCGCCGGGTATAAAACGTGAATAATAACCGTTATATTTTTTTTTATGACAGTGTTCAAATAACGACGGCGTCGATGCCGCTCCCGCGGACTGTGAAAAATTCCGCGGCCCCGCCCCAAACCCCCTTCGATAAAATATGTTCCAATTTCGACGAGATAAATGGTCACATTGAAAGTCGGCATTTGTCTTCATCGTGTAAATCAGTGCGAATGCGAACATAACCCTGGCGAACGGTTCAGCAAAGCTGCCCCTCCAAGATGGGAGGCGGACGGTCCTAGTCAATTGCGCTCCCTTACTTCCCAGCAACGCCAAAATGTATGTTTTTTACATTTTTATTTTCTCCGACCGTAGCGCCATCTTTCGAGCATCGTAAAAAACATTTCCCGAAATGCAACAAATATTTTTTCCAGCGCGGTTTTAATTTGTGAGATGTGCTAAACATTTGATCAGATCATGTCATCCAAATCTTTAATATCTTTAGGGGAAATGAAAGCTTATCGCCAAAACAATGACTAAAAACGATACAATGTGCAATAATATCTGTTCATTTTCGCGAATAAATCACAGAATAACGCCCTGGGGCTTGAAGAGCCCACCGAAATCAAGCGCAATTGACCGCTTCCTCACCGAGACGGCACAACAAGACCGATGGCAGCATCCGTCTTGGCTTTCGCCGGGCGACGCTGAAAAATGGCCACGCCTCCCTCAGAAAAGACCGCCGTTCTTCCCCGCCATTTATAACTGCCACGTTGACATGTATATGTATGACCCGAGAGACACATCTTCGTCGATTTGCTTAGTTTCAGTCATTCGCGACAGTTTGACAGCTCGGGCCTATACTGTGAGTCGTTAGCAACCCGATTACTGGCAAACCGGATGTCATCTCCTTCGTTATAATGTGTTTTTTAAGTAATAAAGCTTTCGAAATAGTTTATCTAGATTTTATCGGCTTTCACTGGATACAATGCGAAAAATATACTATTAGTACCGTATACCGAACTTATTTCTTACCGACCACAGAACTCTCTCACAAACTGGTTAGAAAAAGTTGGCATTTTTCTAATATCTAATAATCCCATTAACCAACAATCTCCCCAATCGTATTTCGAAGGCACAGTATATCAATTTTTTTTTAGGATAGGTTTGTTATTGTCTGCGTAAATTTATGGCAAAAATTTGGGAGGGAGTCAAAAGAAACTAAAACTGCGATTGGAAAACTTTAATCAAAACTAGCAATAATTAATCGGTGCGATGCGATTTTGACAATACGGTGCGTGTGGCTTTTTGCAAGTTACGCGCCTTGTTTATTTTTTCAGCAAGCTGTCGGCCCATCCCTTGAACTGGTTGAGTCCGGTTTCGTTCGCCTCCTTATATCCGGGGGCAGTGGCTTTCACTTTGCCGTACCATCTGAAAAACGAAATAAAATAATGTATTTCACTTTATAATGCAACCTGGTTTCCATCCACGAAAAGTACCTAACGCCGAAAACCTAAAAAGATACATTAATCACGAAAATTTAAAAACACAATTCTAAAACTGCAAAAATGACCATTTAATTCGGACAATTCCTTTCCTTTCTTTTCCTTATGGGCGAAAGGCGAAGGCCATTCGCTCTAGCGACGTGTCTCCAAGGAAACTCGTAGATTCAGGGAACTTATACTTAATTCAACAAACCTGGCAACATTTTTGTACGGGGAGACGTCCACGCCGGCAACCTCAATAATAGTCGACGCGGTAGCGACGAGTGACAAATCGGCGACGGTCAAAGTCGAACCTGCGACGTAGTCGTTGCCTCCGATGAATGTGTCCAAGAACTTGAAGGCCTCTTTGATTTTGTCGAGCTTGGCGCTATCTGCCGGCGCGCCACCGAACATCTGCGGGTACTGCAAATCAACGGCTTTAAGAGGAGCACAGTTTTCTACTTTTAATCGGTCCTCCGGTCGTTAGATGGCGCCGCGAGTTGTATTGAAATGTAAATAACTTACAAAATAATCGGCGAATCTGGCATAAAGGGTGCCGATGTCGAAAAAGAGTCTTTGATCGACGACAGCGCGTTTTTTCGGGTCTTTAGGGTAGAGCGAGTCATCTTTGCCGTACGCGCTTATCAAATACGTGCAGATGGCGCGGCTTTCCCAAATGGCGAAGCCTTGGTCGACCAGAGTCGGGATGGTGTGTTGCGGATTTAACTGAAACGCGGGAGTAAACAGTCGAAGAAAGCCACGAGAAGCTAAATACGTAACTAATTACCAGAGAAAATGCGTATAAGAGCGCCCGCTGAAAACGTTAGGCAACCAAATATTCTGAGTTAATGCAAACTTCTATGCCATCAAAACGCAACTGATCAGTTGCTTCGCGTCAATTTATATCGAACTCTTAGAAAATTTCATTGTTAATTTAAATAAGAGTCCAAATGTGCATTAAGAATTTATTGAAAAATTAAGAAACCATGATTGTGAAAAGATGTTTTTCGTCAATTTTCTGTTGGGTGAAGTCGCCCAAATTTTCAGCCGCGACTTTTGCATCACCTATGACTTGACATAAAACTTTTATATTCAGTGACTCAAGCGCCGTAACATAACTAACTAATATGGAATCCGGCGCTTATTCAGTACCTTTAGGAATTCGGGTGTCAGATGTTCGCTTTTCATCAGATCCAACAATTTCAGGTTTAGTTGGACGCCGAGCGCCTTGGCCGTCAAAAGAACAGCCCTGCAAGGGGCACTGCCGGGTTGGTAATACAGATCGATGGTCATTTTGCTCTGTAAATGCGTGTAAATAACGTAAAAACCCGAGAACCAGATGTTCTAACCTCAAAGTGCACACAATGGATTTTCTGCATATATCTGGTACGTGCTTATAGTGTTATGCGGGGTAACTAACGAATGTTGAAGAATAAGCCTTTAAAGCTGACGCTCTCATGTCAAAGCAAAAACAAAACAAAGACGCCAATAAACATCGAAAATTGATCGATTTGTGAGACAGAAGTTACAAGGAATTAGCCAAAACTGGGCGATTGATGGACGTTTTCATTGTGAACGTTTTTGCCGAACATTACCGCTTTTTTTTGCACCTGCGAGTTTCAAAGCTAGGATTTGTACAAGGCCAAAAATATACCGGCTGCCGACGTCTTATTGAACATTAACGTCCAATCACAGATCTGCGTGTCTATACCGGGTAATTGTTGTTTACACTTTCGACGGTGTTCGGTCGCTTTCAACATTTCCAACGCAATTGACTATTTATAATGCGACCCACATACACGATCATATTTTCTATCTATACTGAATGAATTAATCGATATTTTATTAATTTCAGTCGCTTTCAGCTTATTGCATAACCGTCGATCAAACAACCCAACAATGGATAGCGTAAAGTAGACAGGGTGCGTCGCGCTATTAAATTCAAAGGTGTTTCAAATCGATCTATGCCATTTTTTCGTCGCCATTCTGTGGTCAGTGACCGAGATAGCGTTCGACGTACGGCAAATAACGTCGGAAAATATACCAACGCCAACTTGATTTTAACGAATAAAAAGAGGTTTTAAAGTATCACTAGTATAAAACATTTCACTTCAAAAGAATAAAATGGGTCCGGATGCGTTTCAAGGTCTACGAAATGCAACGATTAAAAAATAAAGTGTGTGTTTTGTTATCTGGAACGCACAGTTCGCGATAACGGCGGCTTTAAAATTGCATACCGCGAGAGCGCTGTGAAATCCCTGTTGAAATACTCGGAAATATTCAACGTCGTTTTTAAGAACAGCCTTCAATTCTTTTTAATTTTCGAACAAGAGCGATTTAAGCTCCGACGCCGCCTTGCGAATAATTGGCAGCCGGGTTCTAGAATACGATGTCGTTGTCGTCAGGCGCGACTTCGGCGGTTTTAAAAATCGCGACACGCGAAAAAAATCATCGTCAAAAGCGGAAACTGATAAAAACGCAAGGAAATTGCATTCAAACGTGACTCACTCACCAACTAGTTAAATCGAGGCGGCCTTGATTCAAGAAATTCGAAGCACACGCGGGCTACGCTGATGCAGTTAGTTGATTGAAAGTGCCGGCCGGTTTTCTGTTCGGTGGTGCGCCCTTCCCACACCACGGCCGTAATTAGAGGCTTATGCGCGACGTCGCCAATTCGGCGGAACTCAATCGAGGTTGCCACGCTTCGCAGCCTCTCGAGATCGTGGAGAAAATTATTGAAAAGAGAGTGACGCATGGAACGGGAATAATTATGTTACGTTACGTAGGCGATTACCCCTTTATCTATGCTAGTTGGGATCCTAGAGACCAGATAATTCGTCTCGTCATGGACATGAAATTAAATAATTATTATATCGGAAAAATCCTTAAATATTACAGAACACCCTGTGCATATGATTGGTTTGCTGAGAGAGACCCTAAAAGAAGACAATGTTGGTTTAAAAATAATGCATTTAGTTGAATCTGACAGTATTTATTTGAAGATGATCTTGAAAACAAATATTTTTACAGCAGTTCTATAAATAAATATTGTTAGCCGTAACATTTTAAATCTACAAAATTATTTGATTTGTGAGTGTTTTCTTAGCAAATTTATCAAGAAATTCCCTGATACTCTTTAAAATAAGATAACCTAACCAAAAGAAATATTTAACACGTGTAAAAAAATATTTTTATATCAGTAAAGGTTTTATTTATCCTATTAGGTTGTGTTGAATTTAGTATGATTAATTTGGTAATAATACTGATTATAATTTTAAAGTAACTATGGTTCCAATTTACCGTCTCCTGACACCAGAAAATGAATTCGCCCTGAATGCGAGTTCGTCCTGATCTGCGGTCTCAACCAACCGTTTAAACTGTCTGTGGTTCTAAGGCATTTTATAATCTAGGCATTTTTTTTATACTTTCGTGTTCCGACGGTGAAGTATGCCATATTGTTTGTTGATTTTTACATAGCGATTCTACTGATTTTATTACGTTACTTATACGGAAGTCCTAACGTGTAACATACAGGATGGACAAATAAGCGAGGTTGTATGTTTAAATGAGGATAAGTACAACGATAACTATGCTAAAATGCTTTTTCTACTCCCGTTTGTCAAATGCCTAATTACACACCAATCTAGCATGCGGGAAGCGACACTTTACCACGTCAGTTTCGTTTCCCACGAATCCGCTTTGAATTTTGATGTTTCTCAATTCTGACGGTCAAGCCAGTTAATGTATTCGTGTTGTTTTGCGAAAATGTTCCGAAAAACTAACGGTCGTAGAAAAAGTATAGTATGCAACACGTTCGGTAACCTTTTTAAGTCACTCGTTCAGTAAACGCTCGCTCCGCTCGGGTCAAATAAACTCGTGAGTCAAATGCCGTTTACCACACTTGTTGAATAATATACTATTGAGCAATCGCAAGCCAGAATGTACTCTTATTTTATATTCCGTTATTGTTACTATTATTTTAATTGTTGTTTTGATTATTTGTCATAATAAATAATTTATAACTTAAGTCATTAGAAATATAATTTTAAATGTTATCAGAAGCTCTTTTGGCAATAACTTTTTTCTTGTAAACTTGATCTACATTCTGTTTCTTTTGCCATAATTGTAACATTCTATTAGAAATTTCGTAAAAACGTAAATGTTGAATTGGCGCTCTCTAGCGGGAGCAGCGGAAACCAGTTCGTCTCGGGTATATTTTTTTTCTGCATAAGCAAGGTTCCGTAATTTGCTGAAACGCGTTGAGCTGAACTAATGTTATAGGCATTTCAATCAGTCGGTTATCTCTCTTCCCCTCGCAACTCATTTAATGCCATAGAATTAGAAGTAATGTGCCACATGTGGTTATAACGTATTTTTTTTAATATATAATTATACAACACACTGAACGTCATTTTTTCCGACCACTGGACTCAAATGCAGGGACTATAAATAAAATTATTTCCACCAATTAACCAGAGTTCAAGTGTAGTACATTTAACATTACCCAAAACTTTTTGTAAAGATATCAGCTATCCGATCTTCTATTTTAACTGTTTTGCTACTTTCCCTATAAAATGACACACTACTTTTTAGGTGATAACACGAACTTTCTTAAAAAAACCGTTTTCACCGAGCACACTGGGCCCATAATCTGTGGTTACAATGTGGTATTTTCAATTGTTAAAAATAATAAAACGGAATTCTTCTAACTAAATCTTTATTACTTAAACATGTGCACCACCACCAACACAGTTCTATCGTTCTTCTGTTGTTCCTTAGTTTCTGGTCAAAACAAAACACAGACCACTACCAAAAAGCACAGAATTCAAAATAGACATTGCTAACTTAACTCTAAGATATAAAATCATAATTTAACATTAGTAATTAATTTCGAGATATTTTTATCTAGATTTATAAGGTTCCACCTGATACAATGGCGAAAAATTAAATGTATAATTATACAACACACTTAAGATATTATTTTAGCGACCACTGAACTAGAAGGCAGGGATCACAAAATGTTAGCCTCCTAGCGGCATAGATGTAAACTTGAAAATTATTCCTAGTACTTTCTTTTGGCCACCTTAACTTTAAATTTTTTTAACGCGAACCGGTACAATTCGTCGCTTATTCGCGCCGCCCACCCTACGGCTACATTCGCTTAAAAAAAATAAATTACGCCGCCGAACACGGCGGGTACATAAAATAGCAAAAATGTTGCGTAACCTTTAAAGCGAATGAAAGCCATCTGTTATTAAAATTTTTTATTTTAAAACCCTACAACGTGGCAGGAGCTTGCTGCGCCCTCCCGCGAGAAGGATAAAAACGTCATACAAATCAACAACAAAAATTTTAGCGTCCGTACGAACTTCAACGGTTCCTCGCGGCCAGATAAGCCGCCGACGCGACTAGCAGACTGCCGATTAAACAGGCGGAGTCGGCGAAGGCGATTTCCCGGGCCCCTGATGCTGCGGTAGTCGTTTCGGCAGCTCCTTCTGCCGGCGCCGCGCCTTCTTCTTCTTGCGCGAACAGATCTCCGACGAGCAATGCCCCGAAAAGAAAGATGTACGCCCAAACTTTAAAGCCGAACATTTTTTCTTCAAATTTCGTGCCAAATTTTAAATTCGACTAAATCTGACACAGTTGTTGAATCGTTGCCATACGAATGGAAAACGTCACGGTTGACGTGTCAAAACCGACTTGATTTTTTTTAGTTTGTTTATAAACGAAAATCGAGAAAATAAGTATAATTAATTTTTATAGGTTTTGAAATCAACTTTAAGACTATCAAAACTCCATTTTTTAACTACATTTTTCTTCTGGACGCACCATTTATTGTTCCGTACCTTGTTTGCTCGCTTGGGGGCTCCATCTATTAGCGACTTTTTGCACCCTCCATATAACCAAATTTTTCTGACGTTATTTTGAGTCCAACACTTTTAGTTTTTGCACTTTTCTTTCGTTATTTATAAGGAAAAAATTGTGTTTATTGCAAAGGTGAATGTATAATGACGTTTCAAGATCCAGCGAATCGTCTCCACAACCTTATAAGAAATTTCCTTTTTTGAATTTAGGAATCCCGCAGCAGCACTTGGTCGTTATTGTTTACGAATATTTTGCATTTTTGAAAAATCGAAAAGGAAACTACAAATGTCTCAGCTACCAAAATGTACCTTGAAACATCTGATTCAAGTATGTAACGACCATAGAAACAACTTCTTTAGAATAATGAATTTAGGAGAAAGAAACTTTTTAAAGGCGACCGTTCAAACAAAATAAAATACAACAAATCTTAATTTTTTAATTAATAAATATTTATTTTTCAATCTTGGTAACCTTGATATGGGGATAAGGCAGAACAATGCCAATAAAAGATGCGCATAAGTCCCTATCAACAATTGCCCTATAGGCTATTGCTATTACGCAGATTTATAGATTCTATTTCGTGCTGAAATTACTTTTATTTTGCCTATACAAATTTGGAAAATACACAATACAATGGCCATTTGCAGGATTAGGAATTTTCGCTTTCCTTATATTCACATTTGGTACAGGTGTAAAAAACCGTTTGGCCTTCGTCGGCCGAACGCAACTGAAGTGTCGCGTAAGACATCTTCTCGTTTCCACATCTCGGACATTTCCTATCTACCACTGGACCTTCCTCACCAGTGTTTGATTCCTTATTATTTACTACCTGTGACTTGGTCGATCTGGTATTGAAATGGACAACGTAATCGACCGTCAACCCTTTATCAAAAAGAGCTGAAATAACGTGGTTATTGGCAATTACGTTCGATATAACGGGGGGCCACTTACACTCGGGATCGAATAACCTAGAACAAGCGTAGCACATTATGCCGCCAGTTTCCCGTAGCGGTGGTAGAATAGATCCGCAATCCGGACAAAATGCTGAGTTCCTTTTTAATGTATCCATCGATACATCGAAATAATTTAACGGTTGAAAAAAAAAAACCTTAATCTTGCTACATTTACCAGAAAACAACGTTCTTCCTTTTTACTTTTATTGGGCCATGTTCACTTAGATCATTGGGCCATAGAATCCCGATGTCATTTGTCAGTTACACAACACATGCACATTGTTTCAGTAAAGCTGGGAATTTTAATTTATTTCGCTGATATCGAACATAAAAACAAGGATATTATAAATCAGACAACAAAAGGTAACCATCGTTTTTCTAAGAATATGGAATATGACAATTTAACGTTGTATTAGTTAATTAGGATAAATTCATTCCTTAAATTTTCAATGATTGAATTCTTTAGTTCATTAATAGGATTCAATTTTTTGAATTAATTCATTGGGGAACTACGCAGCTCGATTTTTATTGTCAACCATTACGTCACCAAGCATAGAATAAAAAGGTACACAAATGAGGATGTCTGTTCTTTGTGTTGTTTATTTTGCGTTTCGGTAATACACGACGTCGCTTTAATGCCTTTGCTTTCACTTTCATGGTAACGGTATAAGTCGTTACGTCGCGGCTCGTCTAATTAAAAATTCATGGTAAAGAAGAAACGAGTTCTTACGATAGAATGCGATCCACCCAGATTACTCACCACTAGCTTGGATGGGCTCTGAACGGCCTAGTACCAAGCGTTCGGTGTCTAGTTTATTGTAAATTTACCTTTGATAGAGTACAAAATGCCGGACGCGGTCGAAGAAAACTTATCTAGAGTGTTGAAAGGCTTACCGTTGGAAGGAGAAGAAGCGGAGATATGCGATTTTTCGTTGGCCGAACAGAACGAAGCCCTGGAATCCCAGGGGATTCAGCCGTCGGTAGACCCGAATTTCAAGCCGGTAGTCGGGGAGACGGTAGTTTACATCGTGGCGTGCGTGATTTTTAATGAAGCAGGAGAAGTTTTGATGATGCAGGAAGCGAAACAAACCTGCGCGGGCAAATGGTATTGAAGGTGTGATTTCGTAGACGCAATAGATTGAGTTGGGCTTTCAAGGTATTTGCCGGCCGGGAGGATGAAAAAGAGCGAAACTATTGAAGAAGCGGGCAAACGGGAGGTCAAGGAGGAAACCGGACTCGAAATGGAATGTACTACACTTCTCATGGTAGAATCAGCGTCCGGCGTTTGGACGCGGTTCGTGATGACCGGCAAAATCGTCGGGGGCATTTTAAAAACTCCGGCTCAGGCTAATAAAGAATCACTCCAGGCCAAATGGGTCGCCGATATAAGCGAGCTGAGTCTTCGGGCGACCGATATCACACACCTGATCGAGACGGGCAGGTTAGTAAAGTGTCGGAAGAAAACGCGGTTTGGTCGACGAAAGTTTAATAAGATATCCGTTCAATAGTTGATTTTCTGTAGAAAATTGCACTTGGGACAACTCATGACGCTGCATCTCGTGCAGTAGTTTTGGCGGGAGGTGCACAACCTGTTCGAAGGCAGCGAGTTGTTGATTTTGTTGAAAAATCTACAAAAATACCGCTAGACTGAGTTCAAATGGTCCCCTTCTCGAATTTCTTGATTATACTTTTTATAAAAAAATAGTTTAATACAAAAATTGTAGGGTTTTATGTGTTAATTGCACAAAAAAATTGGTTTTCTTTAATTGTCACATCAGTATATTATTTCAGGTCAGCTGATTTCCTAAATATATATTACCTTATAGTTTTTAGATTAACGCCAGAATTAGCGAAAAATAAAATCGTCACTTAGTTGGCCATGCATCATCATGGCGTGACTACAACGCCGTCCGTTTAACAATGACAGTTAACCTTAAATACAAAAGTTTTAGCTGTCTATATGGGCTATATCGTCATGTAAAAGAAACTCACAACTAAAACACAGATTTTAAATTATGGCCAATTTTCAATCTTAGGGGGACCGATTTTTCAGTTTTTTTGAATTTGCGGCGCACCCTTTTTATTTCTGAAAAATTATCAAGAATAAAAGTTTATGGACCCGCATCCTCTGCGTCTTATTGTTCAAGAATTTTATTCGGTCTTGTAAACGGTTTTTGAAAAATGGTCTTTTTTGTAGACCCTTGCACACTCGATTTTTTTTTTTTTTAATATTTCCCGACCCCCCAGCCCCCCCCTTTTTCAATAGTTTCCGTCACAGGGCAAAACTGGGTATATGTAAAAAATATGAAGTGGATTGCTTCAAAATTCGGACACATCGTGTTTCATAGAAATGTTCAAAAAAGAGTCGAAAATCGCGGAAAAAAGATGGACGCCGGCGTCTGATGGAGGCCATTTCTTACAAGCTTATGTATCTCGTGGAGTGTTAAAAAGGAGGCAAATTTCAATTTTGTAGCTTCAACGGTTCGAAAGTTATTCAGGAAAAATCAAAAGCAGAGAACGGAGAACAGACAGACAAAATTTTTTTTTTTCGACGGTGATCATTTCTGTACCAATGGCGATCCCATAGGACTTACCGTTACCGAGATATAAAATTTTTATACGAACGCAGAAACTTTCGAAAAATTCGATTTCATCGATTTTCGAAAGTAACAAGCCATTAACTGGATAATTAAAGCTTTGAATAAGTTAAATAAAATCAACTGTGGTTGGCCTATTAAAAGTTCTCTAGAGCTAAAATTTGGTGTATGGCCATAACAAATAATAAATTTTATATTTTAAAAATATTTTGCGATTTCGGGGTTGCCAAATCAACCGAAAATCAATAGCGACATGGGAATCTCAATCCGTATATTCGTAGGTTTTTGGATTGTTCTTAAAATTCTCGAAAATTTCTACTCTTTCCAACATATTGACAGTTCAGATCAATACAGTTTGCCCGTTTCTATTTTGGCTTTTTAGAAGTTATCTAAAATTTGACAGAAGCTGTCAAATATTGTCATTTCATCATTTGACAGCTTACCAAAAACCAAGATGAGAATGTGCAAATAGTTTTGTCTAATTTGAGTCGTTTAAATTTAATGGTCACTTTTCAACTGTCAATATCTCGTGTCAACGTTGAAATTAGGTATAAGAAGTACTATATGAAATATATCAAGAATTTTAAGGGGACTCCAAAAATGTACTAATATAATGGGCGTATCATTTTAAATTCCAATATTGTCGTTAGTTTTCGGTGGATTTGGCAACGCTGCACTATATCTGTTATGGCCGGGTGCCAAGTTGGGACAAGTTCAAATCGTCCTGCATTTTTGTCATTTTCAATATTCAAGATATGCCACAACTGTCATAATTAAACAAAAGACCTGACGTTGGCGTGACGTCATGATGATGCACGGCCAACTAAGTGACGATTAAATTTTTCTCCTTTACGTAGAAAATAACTATAACATATTATATATTTTTGAAATCAGCGTAAAAGGACCTTCTTTCTATAAAATAATATACAATTTGATATATAACTTTTTGGTAGTAAACCTTTAGTTTCTAAAGTTGAAAATAAAAAAGTTAATGGGTTACGTGGTTACCTGTTGATCATGATAGTCAGGAGCAGGTCATTTACGTCCTGTATGGTGTAATCGGTCATACGTTCAAGTTGCGGGGTCCAAACTTTGAGGCCCATGTGGAGGCGGCTGGCGGCTATCACGGCCGCCGCCAACTTAGACGGTTTGAAGTCTTGCATGTAATGGATGTCTAAAACATATAGTTTTTAGGTACTGTAGTGCGTACGTGACCGATTGAGTTGCAACATTGTTCTAATTGTTCTGGAAAATTGATTTATTTTTATAGAAACGCCGTATCAGTCTCTGAAGTTGTTGCTGTTGTTTATTGTGTTTCCGGTCAAAAATTTGCCTATACACGGACAAGTGTTGCTTTATGTACAGTGTTCTGGAGATACGGCCATTTTTTTAGAAATCTCTAACTACTAGTTTATTCTTTAAATTTGTGTACATTAATCAAAATTTAGCCAGAAGAGTCAAGTATAGATTTACCTATTGGTGTTACATCCATTTTAAATCCGACCTTACCAAATTAGAACAAACCATTTTGTAAACTTTAAAAAATCAACTGTTGCTTGTCACGCCAAGCCGACTTTATAAATCAAGTGGGCAGAATATGATATTTTTCACAATTTTCGCAGCGTTACGAAGCAAAAAACAAATCAACTCCTCTCGAAACGCAAATACCTACTGTCGATGATTTGATTTAAATAATTGGTCACAAAGTGTTGAAAGCGCTGCGTGAGGACAGCTTTCTGGTTGACGTTATGCAAACTCGATTCTTCTTCGTCCGCCGTGGCCAGTTGCATGTAATAATGCGCGTAGTGCGCCACCGTCGGGAACATTATGTACCACGAGAAATATTGCAATACCATAACCTCCAAATTCCTATACTCTCTCAACGAGTACCGGTAAAACACGGCCGCGTTGATTTCCGATATTTTCGGGATCTTCCCGATGTTTTCTTCGAATTTGGCTGTAAGCAGAAGGGTAAATGCCACGTATCGTTTAAACGTCACCAGTTACCGGCCAGGAGTAGGCAAACGTTGGCGAGCAGCAAAATTTTGCCTGGCTCGACGTTGTGGCAGTCCATGAACGTATCCAAAATGTACACTGCCAAGTGCAGACAACAGTGGCTGAACTTTTTGTCCATACATAGCCGTCTAAGGTATTCGATCAGGTAGGGCCTGTAAGCGAGCTACAAAGCGCGGAAAAGACATCTAGTAGGCCGCGAATAGACAATGACATTTTTTAGGTTAGGTTTCGATTGTTGGTAGAAATGTACTTATTCATAACCTCGAAACCGTACGTCAGAGGCAAGAGCCAGAGAGTATCAACCACTGTGCCAAAAACGGTAAAAGGGGTATTAAATTTTGTTTGGGTGCAAGAGCGAATTTCCATTTATCCAAGCATATTTAAATAATACACTCATTAAATTTGGGGTCCATAACCAATTTTATTGGTAGGATCTTTAATTGAAATTTTTTGGAGTATCTTAAACATAACTTTTTCTGCAAAGAAGGAAGGAAGTAAAAGAAAAATTAATAGACAGAATTTTGAAAAAAATAAAATAAATATGAATTTTTTATTTCTTACAAATTTATGGATTTATTTTTCAGTTTATTTATCTATATCTCGTTGTATTTTTTAAAAAGAAGTTTGAAAATAGCTTATTATTTTTGCCTTTATAATTTTTAATTTTTTTTTTTCAAAATCATCTTTAAATAATAAACACACTTTGACAAATAGCAGTTGATAATTATTAGTAAATGTCCGTTACTTTGTCGAATGCAAATAACTTACCACGAATAATTCAATGACAATGTTGCCAGATTTATTACTTTTACGTTAAATGGAATGCCCTATTTATTTTTGTTACAATTGATTTAGAAGTAATCGCGAAATTTGATAACATTGCTGTTAGCAAGAAATAATGTTTCTGTTTTTTTTTCTATTTGGCCCAAATTGTAATTTTTTTTATAGACACAATTATGATTTGATTATTATTATTAAATTTAATTTAACACTCACCATACTCTTTACCACATTATAAAGTATTTTGCTGTATATATTGCATGCATTCGAAATTTACATCGTTAGCGTAAAACAAAGCGCCAGTTCCAAAATTGCCTAAATTTTGTCCTTTTCCATGGAGAAAAATGATTAGTTAAAGTTGAAGGCGAAGAAAAACATTATGAAAATGAATGTGTTTGTTTCTGCGTGATCTAATTGAGCGTTGCTTTATAGTTTATTACCTGCGGCGATTGGTGATAGAAAGGTATCCTGACGTTCTCTCTCTCCTTGATCACTTGCTTGAAACATTCCGTGTATTCGTTCAGATTCTCCCCGTAGCCATTCTGCGGCTGCGAGTGCGTAATTAAAAGACGCTTCTAAAAGTAGCAGAAACCTACTTACGTAAAACATGGAAGAGACGTTCATCAAGTCATCCATGGTTTCCGTTGACGTATAAAGTGAACTGACGTGTCTCGATTTTTGCGTTTTTTCTTTTTATTTGAAAATTTTCGGCGGCTCTTTTTGTTGCGAAAAAAAAACGAGTCATTGGAAAAAAAAATGTTTTTTTTTTGTTTTTCGCGTCTAGTTTTCGGTTTTTCGGTAAGCCAAAGTCGGTTTTGAGGTTTACGCGCTAACGTAAAAAAGTTTTTGGATGCTATGCGGTTCGACCAGGCGATCGATGGCCCAAAATATTTGTCCCATATACGAGGGTACCACGAGTTAAGATTAAAAGCCGTAGAAATGAAAGAGAACACGTTATAGCTCGTATCGTATAAACTTTTAGTTCCCGAGCTCGAGCGGCACAGCGTTGCCGTCATTCACATATTTTCCTTTAATCAAAATAAAAAATGAATGAAACAGAAACTGAAAAAAATAACATTACATTAGATTTAAACGATATTCTGGTTAGTTTCGACGTAGAATTTCTTATTCCTGAAATTCGCAATCTGACACGTACTTTTCTTGTAACTACTAAATTTATGAGCAAACACCATCATTCATCATCGCAAATATATACACATCAAAACTAAATAGGGGACAAGCCTAAACACTATTTTTGCTTTGGATACATTCCTTTTCAGTCATTTTAAAAAAAAAAGGTAAGATCTCCAAATTATTGTTGTGCGATGTACCGTCACCATCTTGCAAGGGGGTATGATAATAGGGTCACAGCAGAAACTGTGAATTCATGATAGATTCATTCAAATGCATAGAAATAAGAATGGAGCCCCAAAATATCCGTAATGAAGATTCGGATTAAGGCCGGACTCGAAAAGAAGAAGAGTTTGGAGAACGCCTGGAAATGTAATTTAGGAAATCGGGGCGTTTTTAACGGAAAATCAGTATCATGAAGACATGTTCAAACCTATAGTTCTTCCATATGCGACACAAGCGAACCATGCTTTCATTCACATGCATGGAAATGCTGGACCACATACTGCGTGGAACAGGAACGTTTTTATAGAGTTGAATAGAGAGTGCGGGTTTGCTAAAGTGTTTAGAGCAACAATGGTGTTACTTAAATTCTTACAACATTAATTAAGGTTTTATTGTCATTTTTCGGTATATATAGTAGCAGGTAGTTTGTAACTAGTACATTTGATAAAGACACAGTGGTGTCGAAACAATTGTCATGTAAAAATATATGATTTCGTGAAAATCTGAACTTTTAGTTCTTATTTATTTTGATAAATGGATTTTCATCAAGTAAAAGCTAACCATTACTTGTTCCGTGTTATACCATTCGCTGATAATAAACACAAAGTAGGTTTAAAGTTTGCATGGTTATTTCGTACGAGCCGTAACCATCTTGTCGTTTTCAGGGTGTACTTGGAGGCCAAAAAAAAGTCGGATCCGGCGTGGCACAGGGACCAGCTCCCTGCGCTCCGCCCCCACTCACGTCTCTTGTTGCGGCTGGTCGTGTTGGTGAAAAAGAAATCCACAAACAGGGTTCACATACTGCTCAGCGAACGTACGTCATGGCATCTGCCCGTATGCGAGATTAACCCCCAAAAAAGCTTCCACTCCACCCTCAGGAGGTTTATGGTGGACTTGTTCGGCGCGGAGGTGCCACCCCATAGACCGTACGGTCTTTTCTCTGTGGAACACGATCCGCGGAGTGGCAGGGACGGCGTCTGCTTGACCCTCCTGGTGGCCTTTAGGGCACCGTTGGAGGAGGTGCCCATCATAGGGAAATGCGTGTGGCACGAAATATCCAGGGATCTGGGCGACGGATTGCTGCAGAAGATGGCTTCCAAGCGTTCCCTAGTCGAACTCCACGTTATCCGATAAATTATTATATATTTATTTTATTTATTTGTATTAAAATTATCTATAGGAACTGTTACTGGAGCGTTTGTTTTTTTTTAGCATCTGGTGCGCACTTACGTAATACGTAACGCTATATCTCCGGCGTAACCAACCAAGTTTCAAACTGTTGGTTGTGTTCCGATGGTTGGGCGTGAATTCGAAGTTAAGTTTAAATATATAAAATGAATAAAATTGATAAGCCGTTAAAAAAGGCATAATTTACTACTTTTAGTTCTAATGGCCACGGCTAATAAATAGTAATAATTTCAAACTCCTAATTGGAGTAATCTATCATCCTTCAGACGTGTTAATGGAATAAACTTCTAAATAATTAGTCATAAAATGACCGATTCATCTAACTGCTCCAGCAATTATCTCACACGCGATATCCCATCCGGCTTGGGTACCCGCGTGGTTATGAGAAATCCGGCAACCGACCAATACACAATTCAAATCCGTGGATATCTGCATCAAATACTAATTCACATAACTATGCCTCTAACGATTCAATTAGAAGATATATTAATGAAAATTTTAATTCAAAAAAACGCATAGCGCAGTTATTACGAGTTATGACGGATAGTTCTTTCGCGATAACAATTATGGGTTATGAGTCTTGGTAAATCGGCTCAACTGAAGTGATAAGCAAAGATCAAAAATGGATGAGTAAATTTGAAACCACAGAACGACGAATATCTTCTTCTTTTATGTGGCATCACTAAAATAAAAACACCATGTTACATGACAAAATGTCATTTCTATGCATCGCGCGACGACGTGGTCACCGTTTAGACCTACTAGATTTATAAAGGCCTTACCTATGCCGTTAATACAGATGTTTTTAAAGCAATAAGACCTAATCGCGTTCTGCAACCAACATGGCCGGTGAGAGTTCGTCAATTCTCTTAAAATACGCCTAGTTCTCGTTATATATTTTTTGGAAATAAGTTGACTGTAATATCGCTAGTTGCCAGCTAAATATAGGTTAACATGGGATGTATATCGATATATCGAGTAAAAACATCGATGTTTCTGAAGTATCGAAGAGTGCAACTTTTTTATCATATTCAATAAAAAACAATTATTGATATATCACACATTATACATAGTGAAGAGCAAAAAATAAAAATATATAGAGCTTTCCTGCAGCATATTGAGTTTCCAATCACGAAAGTATGCCATATAAATGCGTCAGTTTTTGGAATGAAATCCTTTTCTGCTGACAGCACCACCACCACACCTCATGAAAATTCTCAATTGCTATATGAGTCCAATCTGTACAGCCAATAATTCCTGGGAATCCACCTTTTTCCATAAAAGCTCTTTTAATTTGAGCATTTCCTTGTTCAGTTTGAAGAAAACATCAAATTCCTATTTTCCATATGTGGAAGCAATTCGGGAAATAAATTGAGAACTAGTTTCTTATTTAGCCGAAACAATTCAATCAACCTATCCTGTCTTGCAGATTAAATGGATCACTTCTATCTCTCATTACTTTTTTGCAATTTTTAGATTTGAGATGCGTCGTCGATTCTACTCCTTAAAAATGTCTCAAAGGTTACATTTGTAATTTAAGTTGGGGATTATGAACACAAATTTTTATGTCCTAAGAGATTTTAGGAGAGAATACGAATATAACGAATACCTACCTATAATGCGGTTATTCTAATTTATATTTTGTGCCAATTTTAATTAAATTAAATATGCAAACACGAAGTAACAAGCGTCAGTCAAGCAAAATAAAAAACGATTCTTGGTTAGGTTAGGTTGCGATTTTCTTCATCGTCATAGATTCTATGTTTTTAACACGTGCCAAAAAGACGAAACGTATCTTGGCGAATGATAGCCGAGAAGTCTTACGCTTACGTAGTAACCTCGGTACGTAACGACGGTTTCCCTTTGCATCCGCATCTCTTTCGCTTAGGAATATGATACAAGTTACGGAGTCTCAGTCCAGGGGGAAGACGAAGAACATGCTCACGGCTTAAAAACACACCCCCATTAAAAAAACCACGAAAAATTTATTCACAATATGTACAAAAGCCGTAAAAAAAAATAAATTATAGAACGCGAGGGTCGCCTAACTGAAATCCATCAACACCTTGAGCTGATTCTTGTACCGTTCCGCCTCCTGCTCCTTCCGGTGCAGCTTAACCTTGTACTCCTCGATCAGTTTCTTCGCCTCGACCAACTGCCTCGTCACCACCTCCATATCTTGCTTGGTGTACTTCAAATTCGGATCGGTCGCGACGGCCTTCCCGGCCGTCCCCACCGGAGTCAACTTGTTCTTCCGCATCACTATCCGTTTGACCGACGCCTTCGACGGCGCCACCTTGACCTTGCCCAAGTTCCTCGCCGAATACGCTTTCATCATTGCGAGGAACTGTTCCGGAGTGACCGTGATGATATTCTTCGCTTTCTTCGGCAGAGCTTCCTCCTCTTCAGACTCCTTCACCGACTTGAGAATCTCTTTACCGGCCTCGGTCAACACGACCGAGTGGCCGCTCTCCATCGCCTTGTTCAGTATACTGGACTCCTCCTTGTCGCTCTGAATCAACTGTTTCTGGAGGGACTTCACCGCAGATAGCGGCGACTCGACCTCGTCCTCTGAATGCGCCTCCATATCTTCGACGATCTGGCTGAGGATCTCGTCACGCAGGAAAGTCACTTGGTGCTGGTCCGGGTCTTCTTCGACGACAGGCTCGGATGCTTCCATGACGTCCACTTCGTCTTCATTAACGCTTATAGACGGTCCCGAATATTCTTGCAGGAGGTCGATGATGTCTTGCCTGCCGATCTGCAACGCGATCGCCGCCGGGGTCAAGTTGAATTTATTCGCCACCTGAATCGCGGCCCCGTTTTTCAACAGGCACTCCACCACGGGGGCGTGGCCGTTCTGGACCGCCCAGTGCAACGGGGTCATGTTCAGCTGAAACGGGGGAGGGGTCCGACATGGTAAACAAGTAAACATAAGAGGTTGGCGCCAAAATTTCCCGGTCTGACATAGATGCAGCTCCAGTATCAAAACTTTGTCTCCTTTTAAATATGTATCTTAGTAGGCTGCGAAAAAAAAATTGAAGTCTTGCGTCAAATAGTTTTTTATTGACAGGATGTCCGAAAAAATGTCGCAAATAATGCAAATTGAGTATAGAGCAGTCATAAAGTTTTTGACAAAAGAAGGGTTAGCACCTGAAAATATTAACGAAAGGCTGGATGGTGTGTACGCCCAAAGTTCTCCTTCGTATTCTGTTTTCGAATGGGGCAGGAGTCCTTTGAAGATGATTCAAGAACTGGTCGACCAGTGGAGGTCATAACGGAAGATATTGTTGCGATTGTGGAAGAGGTGGATTGAGCGATCATCCTCCCGATAGTCCAGATATGGACGTGGACGGCGGTTTAACGACGAAGTTGAGTTAAAAGAGGCTGTTTTAGCTCATTTTGCAGACAAACCAAACGAATATTTTTTTTTTAAGGGATTGAGATGTTAATAAAGAGATGTAATAAGTGTATTGAAGTTAAGGGGGATTATATTGAAAAATAATAAAAAATTGTTACTCTACTTTGTTTCTTCATATTCAGGCCGGGAAATTTTGGCGCTTCCCTCGTAGGTAAAGTCTGGTAAGAACATATGTGCAGTTACGTCATAGCATTGACGGAGGTCGTAAATTCACACATCAAAAGTCCTTATTTTAAAACTTGTGGGTTAGTGGGAAACGAGTATTTATCCCGGTTATTTTTACAGATAGAGTCGCGGTTTACGCGACACTGTGCTACATTTTTGCTTAATTACAGATGCCGTCAACAAAATTATCATGGTTTTTGAGATACAGGGTGAACGCCAGAAACGTTCGTATAGATTTTTTTCCGTAGAATCCAGTGGCGCAGTTTGTTTTTTTTTTACTTGTTATAACCGTTTATTAGTTATGAAGCGAACATGGATTTTTTTAATGGAACACCCTGTATATTATTTTTTCATTAATTGGAAACCATTTAAGTATAAGCTCAACAATTTTTTTTTTCATTTTTTACTTTATTTGCAGGAGGCAATCGGCCAAATCAACTAAAAATAAGATACTATGATATTATAATGTTAAGTGGATAGTTGGCTATGACTTATCCATTAAAAACAAAATGCAAATGTGTCAAACACTTAGGAAGCTGTCAGCTTTTCATTATATTTTTATTACCTATTCATAATTTTCTATAATAATAGCAGTGTATGAAAATTCTGAAAAATATGATATGTTGGTATGTTTTATACAATGCAATGAAAATGCCCAAGAAGGTTTTCAAAAGGATACGGTCAGTATAATTTTTACATTACAGAAATATGTTTTGTTTATATAAGATATCCAGAGAGACGATATATTTGCTCGTCTGAAAAGAAATCCAGTTAGGCGCGGATACTTTATTCAACCACGTCCTAAAAATTAATTTTATTTAATTTTTTTAAATCTTTGAAAGTGCCCAACACGGACGCTTTGAGGTTGTTTTATTTTGGGACAACCAACAGCTTCCCGAATTACACAGCACTTAGGTACCCAGATATTCTGCACTTCTTGAGGGGGCGGAGCTAAATGAGATATTTTTTCCGATGACTAGTTTTTGTTCCTCTTCTATGCTCTTTGCGCTATGGGTTTTTGTTGGTTTTGTTGTTCAAGCATTGGACGTTTTTCAAAAATAAACCTAACCAATTGATATTTATTTTATCCCAAATATTTATAATACGCCCCTGAACCAAATTGCCATAATCTTATTACAATAAAATAATATATGACATATCTAAGTACATGGCATTTTTTGCAAATGACGGTTTTCTGACCGTGTTTCTAGTAGGTCCTACACGATGATTAACGTCCGCGTTACAAAAATCCTTACAAAATAGAGTTTTAATTTAGTTTTTAGGATTGCATGTCTACCTACCTACTTTAAACTAATGAATTATTTCAAATCGGAACGCATCCGAATATGGCAGCACTATAGCTAAGAAATATGGATGATGCGCAATGGACAGCTGCATAAAACCTTGTAAAATTTAGAAAAAAAAAAACGCTAACGATTTGACCCAAAATTAAGTATGATTTTGGTGGTTTTTAAGAAATAAATATTTATCTTCTTGACAATAACGTGTGCATGACAATTTTCATTACGTATTCTTATTAAAACGAATTGAAAAGAAAACAATTCAAATTATAATGACGCAGATAATAAAATAAGCATAACAAAATATTAATTCAAATATTTGAAATAACAATTTCAAGATGCAATCCTAGAGTAAAAAGTCCCGTTTTTTAGTGTTTCAGGGCCATGCAATTTTACTGTAACATTTTTTCTTCACACACACGCGAAATAAAAACCTACTTTTCAAATAAATCGTTCAAATCAAACGAACAATTTGTTTTCCTAATCATGCTTTTACTTAGGTTTTGGTAATAAAATAAATGTTCAAGTGTGATCTTTATTTTCAAATGGTTGTCTTTGGTATAACTTCTTGTGTCACACAGAGAAGAAAGGTTCAATGTTTTCCTCTTTTGCTTGTCATTCTGTATTTTAATTGTGTAAGAAGTGTATGGTTAAAGTCTGTTCATAAATATAAGAAAGTGACTAACTGATACGAATTAAGGAAAGACCCGGGCAAGCTGTAAGAATCAAATATGGCCGAACAGGTGCGTACTTTGCTTAGAATTTAATTGTTTGGGGTTTTGTTAGTGAAGATGCTAAACAATATTTATTTATTTATAGATACACTAGACTCGCACATATTTAGCATAATTCGCACACGATTCAACACACTCTGTATTACACACGAAATAAGAATGATTACTAATAAACTTAAACTAAGTAGTATACCAAAACAAGGAATATTAAACACAGGTAGATATAAAATTATTTTCGATTACCGACCACAATTTTACCTGAATTTAGATTCCGAAACCTTAGGTAATAATCTTGTTGCATTGTATGTTAATGAACACCCTTGGAAAATCCCATTCAAAGGCAATTAGTCACTTTCTTATATCTACGAACAGACCATACCACTATTTTTCGATGGTTCAGTAAAAACAAGTTTATGTACGCTATAAATTTATTTTAAAGTTGGCAATAATACCCGCTAAGTTTGAAAGCAAAAGCTGGAAGTTTATTTAAAAGTAACAAAACAAAAATATTTTTACTTGTTGAAATATTTTCATCATCCAAATAACCCCTTGAAGCATCTAAATTATAATTCGGATGGTCCTGTAAAAATAGTTACTGTTTTACCGTTTTTACTTATTTTTATTTGCCCAAGAGGCCCCGTTTTTATGTGACCTTAATTCTAGGCCAAAAGTTTATTTTGTCTTAAAAATCGCGAATCCCTTCGGCCGTGACATAAACCTAACCTTACCAAATCGAGGCAGTCGATTTCGGCCTCATGCTTAATCAGCGTCTCGACTACTTTAACGTGGCCCTCGTAGGAAGCCAAGTGCAGAGGCGACCTGTCGACTTTGTTCTTCGCGTCTTTCGATATCCCGGCCCGCAACAATATCTCGCAAACTTCCACATTGTTGCTCTGCACTGCCAAATGCAAGGGGGTAGTGCCCAGCTGAAACGTAAACCATCGAAACATAACCCAACTTTCGTATGTCATTTGTAAACTTTAACGATGCGAATCGGAAAAATACCGCTTACCCAGTCGGAAAGAAACGGGGCCCCCTTTGTCAACAACGACTTAACCTCACCGACGTTGCCTTCCGCGGCACTCTTGAGCAATTCGCGACCCAAATCGTTCACGGAACTAGAACTGTTCGTTACCAACCTCGTATTGACGTCGATCTAGAAAAAAAACCTCGCAACGTTCGCATTTTTTTTCTGTTATTCGCACAACCTACCGGGATAAACTGGCCGGATCCCTGAAAACTGAGCGCTCCTTGAAGTTTCGTGTTTGCCGATAAAATGTACTTTGGTCTCGTCGGTTCTTCGACGCCGACTTTTATCATGACCTGAAAACCGATACGCCATCGTTACAAAAGTAACTTCGTCGCGCCTCCTACGATACAGTTTCGGCCTATTCAAATTTAGGCAACAGGAAAACGGCGCATCTCCATCTTGGAACGGCGGAGGTTTCCTGTTCCTGTGACGGGCGGAAGTCGAGCGCCGACAATGAAATTTATCGATTTTTACGGTACTCACGTGGACACGTTTTAAATCCGCTCGCGGAAAAAACTGCACCGTTTCGAATTCTCGTTTCGGTGGCGAGGAACGCGTACCATTCCCGAGAAATAAGAAATTTTTCAACTGTCAACTGTCAACCGCGTTTTGGCGGTCGGTTCGAAAATCCGTCTATCGTATTACATGGTAAATTACAAGCGCAGGCGGGAATTTTTTATTCAAACGGTCGGCTATGATCTTCGCGAATTTGGCGTTTGCTTGGTTCGAAGTAATCAGTAATTAGAAAGACGTAGCCTTATTTGGGAAATATAGATACGGTTATAACATAATTGCACATATCGATTTTCCTCAAACGTTTTAAATAAAACTTTCATTTAGTCGTAACGATGTCATGCTGGTTACTAAAAACTCGTTTCCGGATTATAACGGACCAAATTTTCAGTGTTTTTAAAATTATGAGCTCCGATTCTTCTTTATATCGTATCTTTTTTTCGGCATTATCGAAAACTATCTAAGTAACTTTCGACAACTTGACTATCAAATGCCTGACAAATGAACAAACACAAAAAATGAATAGCCACCTGACATCTAGCTTTTCCCGTGGATTTTTATTTTTCATCATTCAGAAAAGGGACTTGGGCAGTTTGATTTTCTTTATTTCAAAAGGCCGCTGAATAATTAAAAAGACGAAAACGCACATTTATTTAATCTAGTTCAATAACGGTTTCCTTGCAGTACCACTGTTTCTTATTTTCGTAATAGTTTATAACCACCTCGGGGCACCTCACGTTTACTTGACTCGCTGGCACCAAGTCCGCTTCCTTGCAGTTTTTCCACATCATCAAAAACATCAACTCGCCGCTAGCGTCCGTCGCACCCACTATTTTATCGGGCTCGAGGCCCCTATCGAAACCGCGGGCCCTATTATCTTCCGTTATGTTTTTCCTTTTGTTTTTATCTTCCGAGTCCGTTTCCGCGCTCGTCTTCAACTGCGACTCGTACGCGGATATCAGATCGGGACAGTCGAGGTTTTCTTCGGGCTCCCACGTATTGTCGTCACTTAAATACAGCATCCTATTCGAAAAAAATGGATAAACTGGTTACTTAGCTCTTACTCGCTGTATCCTTTCCACTTGAGGAGATATTCGACTTTGCCATTTCGAGTGCGCTTGTCCAGGATCTTCTCGACCGAAAACTCTTCCGGCGGGTCCTGCGAAATAGGAACGGCCCCCTCGTTGGGCCGCGGCTGCGTCGCGTCGCTGTGTCTAGCTACAAAACAATTTTTAAATAAGAAGGAAATAATACGAACGATAACTCACTTTTCACCATCGTAGTAAATTAATTTAAAATCGGTAAGTCGCAGCGGCAATATTTCATCTTTTATGAAGCAATATTATTTATTCCTATTTTTCTATACTTCTATTGGCCAAGTCTGCTAAGATCATTCGGCCAGTTACTACCTTAGTTCAACAGTAATACTTGTGTGGATAACGATTTATACCATGTTTAGACTTTGATAAATATAAAGTTAACGATTCGTTGACTAACACTCGTCAACAAAAAGTTTTTTTAATTAATACTTTAAAAAACTCTTCGTTTCCACCGCGGACCTCAGGGCTCATCCGGCGTGACTACCGGCGTGTACTGGGGAAACTAACAGACACCATACATTCACTACGATCGAACACTATGGGAATTTGACCGAAACGAATTTTTAAACGTTGAAAAACTCGCATTCTGGAGGCAGCACACAAAAATCAACCTGTCACGGGCAATGCTACCCATAGAATCAAATTACTTACCATCACAACAATTAAGCAAAAGAACAGAACTATTAGTAGCTTGGCCGAATGATCCTGACCTCTGGCCAACAGCAGTAAAAAGAGTTTTCCATGGTGTCGCATGGAGGAAGGAAAATTTTATTTAATTTTTTCGCAACCCAATATTGCAATCGAAAATGGAGACGGGGCAAATTAGATACAACAAGGTGGGGAGTTTGGTAATCTTTTAATGTAAGCGAACGTGTTATATTTGCAGCTTTTTATTAACAACGAATTTGTGGAAGCGGCCAGTAAACAACAATTCCCAGTCTTTAATCCGTCGACTGGGCTGAAAATCGCAGACGTTGCCGAGGCAGACGAAGTAGGGCATTGTTATTTTTTTGGCACGGAAGTTCTAGTGTTTTGTTATTGCGTTAGGTTGATGTGGATGTCGCTGTGGCGGCTGCCAAAGCGGCTTTCTCTAGAGGTTCACCATGGAGGAAGATGGACGCTTCGGCGCGTGGGAAATTATTAAACAAAGTATTGATTCGATTGATTCTTGCTTTTTGATTTTGAGCGTCCAATTTGCGTTTAGTTGGCTGACTTGATGGAGCGGGATATCAAAAACCTGGCTTATTTGGAGACGCTTAACAACGGGAAAACTTACAAGGATTCGATGGCAGACGTGCAAGCTTCCGCCGATATCTTCAGATATTACGCCGGGTTCTGCGATAAGATCCACGGAGACACGATTCCCATAGGTGATTGCGAAAAGCGATTGTTATTTGAGTTTATCCGATTTATCCCATAGATGGTAGCGCTATTTCTTTTACTACCAAAGAACCGATCGGGGTGGTCGCCCAGATAATCCCCTGGAACTATCCGATTGCAATGTTGACCTGGAAGTGGGGCCCCGCTCTCTGCACGGGCTGCACGGTGGTCTTGAAACCGGCCGAGCAGACTCCACTGACCGCTTTAGAAATGGCGTGGCTTACGAAAGAGGCTGGCTTCCCCGACGGGGTCGTCAATGTAATACCGGGTTACGGCCCGACGGCCGGGGCGGCCTTGTGTCTCCACGATGATGTTAGAAAGGTCGCTTTTACGGGTTCCACAGAGGTAAGTGTTGACGCGTGTTATGTAGGTAGGTGGTAGTCGAGGGTTCCAGATTGGACACAAAATATTGGAATACTCGGCTCGGTCCAATCTGAAGAAAGTGTCGCTCGAACTGGGCGGCAAGAGCCCCCTGGTCGTGTTTGACGACGCGGACCGTGAGTTTGGGGCCCGCGCGCGTCAAACTTTTCGCGAGTGTTTTTTTTTTTAGTGGACGAGGCGGTGGAGGTGGCTTTCAACGCGATATTCGCGAACCACGGCCAGAATTGCTGCGCCGGTTCGAGAACTTTCGTACAGTCGGGGATATATGAGAGGTTCGTGCGGAAGGCTAGCGAAAGGGCGGGCCAGATAAAGGTCGGGGATCCGTTCGATCCGAACGTAACTCAGGGGCCTCAAATAGACGAGCCGTCGTTGCGGAAAATCTTGAGGCTCGTCGATTCGGGCAAAAAAGAGGGGGCCAAGCTCGAAGTGGGCGGAGTCCGCGTCGGCGAGGAGGGTTACTTCGTGGCGCCGACCGTGTTTTCGGAAGTGACGGACGGCATGAGGATCGCGAAGGAGGAGGTCACATTGAACCCGCCTCGCTTTTCAAGTTTGAGGTTAGGGTTTCATTTTTTTTTTAGATTTTTGGACCGGTGCAGAGCATTTTAAAGTTCAACACGTTGGAAGAGGTTATCGAGAGGGCCAACGGCACTACTTACGGTTTGGCGGCCGGGGTTATCACTAAGAACGTCGATAACGCGCTGGCGTTCGCCCGGGCAGTAGAAGCCGGTTCCGTTTGGTAATTGATGTTTAGTTTTCGGAGGGTTGCGTTTATTTGTTTCGTTGCAGGGTGAATTGTTACGACTACATCACGCCTCAGACGCCGTTCGGCGGGTTTAAGAAGTCGGGATTCGGGAAGGATCTGTAAGTTTCACTCTCACTGTGCAAAATCGATTCAACCTACATGTTTTGCAGGGGGTCCGAGTCGCTGAACGATTATTTGGTGACCAAGACAGTTACGATAAAGTTGCCATCCTAATGTTTTTAAATATAAAATTTGTTAATTATTTTGGTTGTTAATAAACATCTATCCATCTATCTGTAATTTGAATGTCTGTTGGTAAATGTCACTACTACGGAATGACTTCATTCCATAACGTAGGCACGTCAGCTAAGGACATTCGCCCATTACCGACTTCGTCGAGGATATTCTATTGGTCACAGACCAACACGTAATATAAAACAGAACCAACATTTGTTCGTTAACCGATCACAAAAAACGGCTTTCTCCGCGGACCATCCGGCGTGAACTGGAAAAAACACATGCAATCAACATCACAAACACCAAATCTACACAGTGGAGACCCATTTCAAACTTTTCGGGACGGATACAAGGGATTCTGTCCCCGACAGATTCCACTACGGAACGGACTTGTAACACAAGGTCTGTCAATGCTTGCCGAGGTTATAACGTAAAAGGTAAACTAGGAACGTTGCGTTTGGTGTTTGTAATTTTAGTTTCAATTGGTAAGGACAACCAAATCACTTTTTTCTTTCTTACGTTTACGTGACGTTGTGCTAATTTAATTATGTGATGGATGGCCTAGAAGAAAGAAGTCGAAAGTTTTTAATATTTTTAATGAATAGTAACATATCCATTCTAATAAATTAAACCGATAAACAGTTTTAAGTTGACAAAATCTGTAAAAAACGAAGTTTTCACTGCCAAAATGCGCTGGTAGTGTTCAAGAGCGCTTGTTTCTTATACGAATGGTAACAGAATTCTTTAGTGGCCAAAAAATCCTCGCGGTTATGGCCCATAGAAGTGAAGAAATTGCTTTGTAGTCTGTGCGCAAAATTATACAGTCAGGATTATATTTTATGGTTATGAAACGGAGAGCCAAAGTCTGTCACATTGGCTCATCGCAATTTATAACACCAGATTGAACGGATATGTTTCAGAAGCGGACTCGAGGCAGATATCGCCCCTAGTTTCCTTATCGCTGATGACGATCAGCATGCAGGTACTCCTTGAAGCTATAATGTAAACTTTTCTTCTATCTTCCGGATCGGTTTTGTCGTATTGGTCCTCGTCAATGGCCATTATAACCACTTTAAACTCCAACCCCTTTACGCGGAGCGCCCAAGCAATTAGAAACTCGTTTGGTTTGCCGGTGAGCAGGAACTGTTCGACGTCGCTAGTGGCTTCCGGTTTGAAGCTTTTCTCTACGAATTTGTGGGTGAGCTCGTCGTTGATTGCTTTCCGGGAGAGCAAATCGTTTTGCAAGAACGGAATGACGCACAAGTCTTGCGGTTTTACACCCTTGGTCGCGAACAAGTCGATTATGACGTCGGAGACAGTTTCGCAAATCCGACCTTTACGATCAACCCAATATACCGGGGGTTCTTTATCGACGATTCGAGAAAAACCGAGAGTTTCTGTAAGGTGCGGTCCCGGCGATACTAAACGCACAAGTCTGGCGATTTGTTCCGTCGATCTCATTATTTTATTCAACACAATATGAGGCGTTTTCAATATTTCCGGCGAATACTTAGGGAGAAACATCATGGCCTGGTTCGTGTCGACCAGGAACCAAAGCTCGCCCCAAGACTCCACTTCACGGTGATTATTTACGAGATCGTTGATGTGGTAGTTTTTCTCCAACGTGCCGTAAGGGCATCGCGTGTCCTTGCAATTAGCGGCGTGATAACAACTGTAAATCCTGCTTAGGGTGGTGTGCACTATATCCGCGCTAAATGCCAAGCAAATCGCCTCGGATTCGTCCATGAAGACGTGCTTGTATTTCTTCGAGTTGCCCTTCAAGAACTCTTCCGAAGTTACGAAAATTCTGGCCGTGTCTACGTACTTATCGATACCCAACGCCTTGAGTTTGACCATAACTTCACACCTATAACAAATCCACATCGATAACGCATAGGGTCTACAAACGCAATTTACCTGATCCCAGGCCAATAGCAGATGTACAAGGCCCTGTTTTCATCGTTCAATTGTCCGGTTTCGTGTAAAAGTTGCAGTTTTTTCAAAATCAACAGCGTTTTGCCGGTACCGGCCAAACCGTGGACCACCTAAATGCGAGATGATTTAATTTCATTTAAAATCATGCATGGACCACAGAATTCACTTTCACTAACAGAATGAACAATTTAATGTCAGCTGGCTGAGAGAAACTTACTAAAACCCCTCCACGTTTGCAGATATCGGAGTTTAAAAGTTTCAGCTGCTGCCGAGTAAGCAATGCCAACATGTTGGCGTCCAGTTCGTCCATGAAAACGCCGCAACTTAGTATGATGTATCTGGAAAGCGTGAACTTATCAAAACTACGTTACGCCGATTGGCGTCTCAGTTACCTATTTAATAAAGCGAGAAATATACCTTCTTCGCAGCTCTTTCCGCATAAAACTTTCTCTAAAAACCAGCAGTTGAAGTTGTCCTGGTTCAATATGCAGTTTTCGAATACGTGCAGGTCGGGTTCGTCGGCCCAACGTCTGATTCTCTACGTAAAACGTAAGGATTCCGCTATAAAATAAATTGCGATTTGCTCACCTGTTGTCTGGGATCTTTGGTGTACTCTCCTAAAAAAGGCCATATTATGTAACATTGTATTTGTTTCACTATGTCGCCGTCGAAACTATTTTGCAGTACTTCCAAATGGTCCCTCAGTTGATGCTGAGCCGATCGCTTATTGTTTTTTAATATTTTGGCGTCGCAGTTTTTTTCCAAATCGTATCCGACGGTAGTTCCATCGCTTGTCGATTTTACTTCTATAAGTATAACGCTAAATTTCTCTAAAAAAAACATCCAAAAGTGAAACGCTCATTTAAAAAGCATTAGTGGTCTGTGAATTTCTAAAATTGTTCCATGGTATTTATTTTCTGTGCTCGACTTATTTTTAAATCTACTTCAGAAATATTTATTCACGACAAACTTACTTTGATATCTGACGAACGCTACAAAGTCGTGTTCCCTCACCATGAGTCTCCCGAGCCTGTCGTTCCTGGTAGAATTCCCAGCGTATGAGGCGTTATGAAAAAATGTTACCCACAACCCCGGAAGCGTAAGAAGTTTGAGGCTCTCCAAACGTTCGAAAACGATTTTTTCGGCCAGACACCCCTGTCGCTCTCCTTCTTTTAGGAACTGACAAGGTATTGGGTAAACGGTTGCGTTCTCTGTTGAGCTGGGAAATTCGTTTTCCAAATACCTACGTCAAAAATAACACCCCGAATTTTTTTATCGAACAAAAACTAGGCATAAGATACAACAATATATTTAATACATGATTCAAACCATCACAATCTAAATGACAAACCTTTCAAGAAGCTACCTACAAAATTCAAAGGCCTACAAGACATGTATAAAAATAAACACTCGCAAAACATTAAAATGGTTTTTATTTAATAGTAAAAGGCAAAAGTTTGAGAAAAACACTCCAATAACTCCAAGCAAGTTGCAAACTCGAAAGCTTATTCTTTCTTGTCGACAATCTTGTGCGCTGAAACAGACATTAATTTAAATCTCGATCCTTCACATTGTTCTCAATCAAAATACCTTGCTCCTTCACTTTATTCAGAGTATCATCAATTGTAGAATGATGTTTTAAGAAATACGGTCTGATGATTCTCTTGTAAATGACCAGAGATCCGTTAAATTCTGTGGGAATCATCAGCCACACCAAAAATATGCCCTAAAGTAAGTAGAAAGCCATATATAACTTCTAAAACATGACTTAATCTCAAAATATGTTACCTTTATCAACCAATACAAGGGAAACCAGCCTACGATAAAGTCCGCAAAGTATTCGACTACGGAGAATAAAGCAAACACAACCCAGTAGGTAAGCCATTTTGTATCGTCATCTTTAGAACGAGATTCTATCGCGTGAATCGAAATATACGCGGGATATATAAATCCCACTGTATTGCACACCAACTGTGCCGCATAACCAAACACCAACCACAAACTGACCACGGCGATACCACCTACAACGCAAAATTTTGGGAAAATCCGGGCGTATTACGTAAAATCAGGAAATATTGACTGGGGTTATGTATTAATCACCTATGAATAAGTAAAGTCTATCCACCCCGGTTTTTTGTTCGGCTTGGGCGAGGAGTCCCGTCCACGGTTTGTTCGTGTCACGCAGCGACCGGCTCAATCGGTCTCTGAATTCCCCGAGTTTTTGCGCCATTCTGAGTGCCTTTTTTGAATAAAGCGAATTCACTCCGACAAAAATGTCTTCCACTTACAAAATTTATAACCATAAAATCACAGATGTCGATTGGGTTACTCGCGTGTCGCGCATTCGGTGCGACTTATTCTGTGGTTGGGGAGGGGCCAAAGACCAAAATCTCCGAAAAACATATTCATTTAATGACAGCTCCATATACAACAATTAAGCAAACGGAAACAATTTGCGGGCGTCGCATAATTTTTCGACATGGCCTTTTCCCACGGGGATAAATAAAAGTGCCTCGGATGCAATCGATATCTATGCGTAAATTATTGTAAACGGCGATATCGCATATTAAACACCGACTCCCAGTCTTGTGAATATATTTCAACGTAAGTATAGATTCTAACCCGTCTTGGAAGCGTATATTACTGACATGACCGTCCATCTCCCGTGCATAAATCGATCGATATAATATATAATCCGCGACTGGCCCGACCGGTTATTGACGGGCGAGGAAGAACAAAACGAAAAAAGATCTGCATAAATATAGATGCTCTTCAATCGATTTCACTTAGACGCATCTTTTCGTAACGATTTTATGAGACAACAGTCCCACCCGCACCAAAGGTAAGAGATTGGTCGGTTTTATCAATCGCGATCGATAAAATTTATTAATCCTTAGAAATAAATCGTACCGCGGTCGTAAATCTAAACGGCGATTCTCGTTAGCCGGCTACCGGCTTTGAGCGTTTTTTTTTTCTGCCTCACACTCGACCAGACAAATTCCATCTTTCGTGCTCTCCGTTTTCGCCTTCTTTCTCCGCTGTTGCTATCCGCCCGCGGTTATGCACCGGGTAAATGTCTACGTAGGGAGAATACAACGATCTCGGACAGAGACGTATTAGCCCTGGCGGTTGATGCGGGATCGTTTTCAAAATTATCGAATATAATTTTTTTCTGCGGTCCGTGGTTAAAACGCTGGTAAAGCGGCCGGGAAATTTGACGGTCCGTGACCGCGTAAAACGTTTCCGGTTGACAGTCGACAGATGGGGCGACCGTTAACGTCTAATGGCGCGACGAATCGAAAAAACAAGTCGGATTAGGAACTTTCCGTTTTTTCCGTGTCGTCCGTTTTAAGTGTAATTGCTGAAGACGACGTGAGACTCGATTCCAGTAACTCAGGTTCGCCGAGCGAGTAATTAAAGTTAACGTTGATCGAGGACCGGTCGGTTTTTGCCGCCGGAGTTATTAAAAAATTCTATTCCGCTACGGCGACGGGAGAGACGAGGCAAAAAGTCACCTCTCCTCTTACGGACGCGGAGCGAACGTAACAGGTTCTTGATGTATTCCTGTTAAACGACTTTATTTCGTAATAAAACCTTATAAAGGCGTGTAGTTTTCGTCTTCAAGTGACGACAGTACGGCGTCGTGTAAATGAAACTGGAAATTACTCAGTGCTAGCGAAGGACAAACCAATTAAGAGTTTTTTAAAGGTTCGCGGTTTGTTAAGGCGGCGTAGACCCCAGATACGAGCTCGTCTCTATGGCGTAGCCCGGACACTTACCTCGGCAGATGTCTCTCGATGCTGCGGTTGCCCGCGTCGGAGACAGATGGCGGTAGGTAAATCTTGATGCCCGCGAGCTTGTCTTGTCGCGTACGGTTTTGCAATCCGTTGGGTGCCATCGCCCACAGAAATAATAGACACTCCTCAGGTCCAAGTCTCTGTTAAAGGATTGCCTTTTTCAAAATTTGTTTTCCTTTTTTATATCAAAACCATTGAATCAAACAAAAATGAACGCTAAAACTACGATTTAAACAATTTTCATACAAAAACTGGCTTCAAAATTGAGCGAAACTGTAGCTGCAGCAACTCACTTCTTTCGGTGACGTCACAGTGAAGCAATGACCGCCATATTTTCTCTTCGAATGCTTACAGTATGTCGTCAGCGGAGACGGTTTAAAGGTGCAAAGGGGAATAAAAAAAATAAGTTCCGAGTTTTCCATTTTGTAAATTTTAAATAAAAATGAAATAAAATGTAAACGAATCGGCCATGGCACTCCCCTATAAAAGTTTGTTTTAATTTGATCTCCAATGTCTACACATTAAGGTGTCCAGCGTATTTATACATAAGGGAAGGGTCTTTTCTGGAGTGCGGAGGCCCCATTTTGATTTTAGACATTGTCGAAGATGATTTTCCTGTCAATAGGTTGACTTTCGTTACTGAATTATCTGTAATTTCTCTAACAAGAGGGAATGAAGTGAAGAGAACGTCCAAATAAGTCTATTGAGACAGTATTTCAACAGGACTAGTGTCACTAATAAATACTTCACAATATTAGGGGTGCCGCAGGGTTCTCATTTACGAACAATGGACATTTTCAACGAGCAATTCCAAAACCAAATACTTACACCTCGTAGCAGACTGCAATTAAGAAGGCCTGTACCAGGAAATGATAGAGTAATAGAGTATAGGGTATTGTGATGAGCATACACCCAGGAACAACAATATAACGCATAAAAAGAAGTATCAAAAAAATAAATTTTAAAAGGGGAGAAAGTAACAGGCTGTCTGAACTTAAGGCTTTCGTCGCCACATTTGAAAGTATCGTTCTGTATGGATGTAAACTGCTAGCTCTTGGAATGGACTTTTTGGAGGAGGGCTTCAGGAAAGTCAAGAATGGAAAAAAGAAACCAAAGAATAAGAGATGAATCTCGAAAGTGATATTACAGAAGAAATCCAACGAAGACAGCTGATATGGTACGGGAGAGGACAAGATTTTCCAAGCTAATACTGAATTGGATGGCTGGGAGGAACATGCCCAGGACATTCGAAAGATAGAAGACGGAAACAGTGCACCGGAAATGCAACGTTCCTGAACAGCGAGTGTCTATATTTGATGCTAGACAGAAAAAAAATTGAAATAATTTGTGTTCAAAGCTGACGGTACATCTCGAGAGGTTTAAGTTATGGATTTTATTAAAATTCGATGTAAATATTCTCGAATGTGGATACGAGTGACATTATGAACTGCAAAAAAATAAGAAAAGTTCACCTATAAATGTAGTCTGTTCTAATTGCAGTCATTTATAGAACGGGTGTGATATATTGATCTCAGCTTTATAAAACTTCAACGTTGATTGGGAACTCTCCAAGTTGTGAACCAGGTGACATATCGTTTATATACGGAACGTCTTAAAATTAACGCGTAAACAATTACTTACGTCGTATCCGAAAAAAGCTCGGGTCAATTTAATCGGCAATCGGAGAATGATAATTACACCTAACGACGTAAATCGCGATGATGTTGGGCGAGAAATTCAATAATAAACGTTCGTCGGTATCGGAATGTTACAGTTAATAAACTTGGCTGATAACGGCGGCGAAAAAAACTGCCGATATCCGCACCTAAAATACGATTGTCGATCACGCGCGGGAACGCTTCGAGTGGCCAGCGGCGTCCACCTAAGGGAATCCAAGTTTTTGACTAAAAAAAAACGTCGCGCCACTGGTTTTCCTAAAAATACCGTAAAATAAATAGCACGGAAGAATTCTACGGCTTATTTTGAAAATAATTGCGAGGGATTGTTTCATGTGTAATGTTTTATTCCCAAATTCAACATATGCGTACACGGTATATGCGCTGTTAACATGAAAGCAACATTTAAAAGAGAAGCAGAATATTCTAGAATTTATAATTTAAAAATAACTGACAGTGACAGTTACCAGTTACAGATTTAGCAAAACTGATTTCAACAAACATCCAGCCTAGCCAGAACAAAGAAAACATTGGAAAGAGATGAAGATAGTCATTTAAGGACTTTACTAAAAGTTGTCTGGAAGAAGCGTCTATTGGGAAGATTCAAACCACTCTTAAAAAAGCAGGAAACAAATTCATTCATTCAAAATTAGGCCTACCACAAAATTAACGCCCAGGCATCGAGAAAAAAGGATTGAGTTTTGCCAAACACTGTCGAAAAAAATTAACGAAAATGATGCTTATTTCAGTGGCCACCCAACAGTCCTGGGTTGACACCGATGCATGCATTTTTATGGGGAACTCTCAAAGAACCTGACTTGAACGAAAGTTCAAATTCTAATCTATCGCTGCCGCCGTAAAAATGGGTAAAATTCTGTATAGGTTTTTTTGAGAATATATCGATAAGCTATCGACGATTTATCGATACAACCCATTTTGTGTGTCTCGTGACATTAAAGTTGTTGTTAAAACTAATAAAATGCCTTTTTCAAATGGTTATGCTGTCGATATGACTCAAAATACGGTATTGACTTAAAGAATATGCAGGGCTAGATATCGAGCGACGATCGGCAAGAACAATCCTGACTCATAGGTGCAATTTAATCTTCACATTAGTCCGAGAGCCAATGTCTCTCACTTGCTACTATTCTAAAGATTTTAAAGGATCAACGGTAGGGGAGGGTGGGGCAAAAATTAACTAATTTTTTTTTCGTTTTTTCTTATAATAATTATAAATTCTGGTTATTTATACATTTTTCTGTTCAATATTATTACAAACGAATCTTAATTAAATTATTGAAAGTGCAATTTTTTGCGTGATTCTATGGATTTATCCTAAAGCCAGAGCTTTTGAAAATATTATAAATACCAATAACAAACTTGTCAATCGTTAGAAAAATAATTACTACTCATCAGTATGGTTTTTTTTATTAAATAATAAAAAGCTTAAGTGGGCTGGTTTGGCCCACCCTCCCCCAACTTTTTATGTCACTGAAAATACTACCTTACATGTTTCACGAGGTTGTTGTTACGAATTTTTTGACTGTACTCAAATCATGTGCCAAAATAGAGACTGTATGCGACGTTGTTTGGAGAGATGAGGCCACTTTTAGAAGTGGTGGAAAGCGTCATCTGCATAATATTCATTATTGATCCTACAATAATACTCACTGTTTACGCGAAGTTCAACATCAAGACCAGCCTCAATGTACAGGTGAAACTATTATAGCTGATCAACCACTAAATATGTTTTTGGAACTGGCCAATTCGATCAACAACTACATACAAGGGGTCACTCGTAGCCTGTCAGGGGCGAAAATTGAAGCTGCCGTAATGTCCACCTATGAGCGGCTTCGTCAATTCGAACATTTAAGAAGGCATCAGTTTTCTTTCAAAATCCTTCCTATGCCTCTGCAAGTGTTTTTTTTTTATTATTTAAAAATTAAAGTTATGCACTTTTCTCATCGAATCGCGCAAAAAGTAAGAAGACTTTATAACGAATTTTATGATAACTAAATTTTCTTATTACGGTAGTTTAGGTTAGCCATAAGATATCAAGAGCCTACGGCTTTCCCTAGCCTATTTAGGCAACGTTTTCCTATATTCTTATTGAAAAGAAAGTCATATTCTTGCGTTTAAATTTAAAAAAAAACACGCTCTAGCGGGATCACTAAGAACTAGACATATTACAGGTAAGGTAACAGAGCAATGAAAGTTTATTTTGGCATGCGTTCAGTAGTTTAAAAACATGGAATCACCCTCATCACGTTATTTTTACAGTTACAAAGTGTTAAAACAAACATACATTTTTTTCGTTACATTTACTAGAAGGATTTCGGCGAAAAATTAGTTTTAAAGTTATGAATTGCCTAAATTCATTAACAAAAAATTCATTCTTACTTGAGTGACAAGGCAGGGGTGGCGCAGGTATATTTCTTTCTTTCTGATATATTTCTGGAGTGTTGTAGCAGTGTTGAATAATCGTTTTTCCTGTACGTTTCGATAAAGCTATTTTAAGAGAATAGGACAATGTCGCGTCGAAATCAAAGTGTACATGAAACAAGATTGCTTTCGAAAAATCGTCTCTGGGCGGGGCAAGTTCGTAGCGATTAGCGCGAAACAGCTACTTATTATAAAAAGGTGCTAAATTAATTGTGCATGCACCCTGTATAAAATGTCCTTCACATCTCGTCCAACTTCAAAGTTACAGCAAACATCGGTAAATATCAAAATTTGCACAAATAATAGTGTTGTCGAATAATATTTTTTCAAATATCTCGCGCCCTGTATAATTGACGAAACCTGAAACTCTCACGACACGGTTTACGATACTGTTCAAATAAAATTATCCCATCTTTAACGGTTTTTCATTTATCGCCAATAATTTAGCCACAAAAACGGAAATTTTTAGGATATTTTAGATTTTTTGCCCACAAACAACACACCCTGTATATGATACCATCATTGTTCGAAGTAGAGGTTATAGCCCTGGATTTTCCACGCGTCCTGGTTCAAGAATTTTTTGAAAATAGTAAATGGTTAGCCCCCCTATTTTGAATAGGTTCCGTCACGGGGCAAAGCTGCATATATGTGCCAAATATGAAGTCGATTGCTTCAAATTTCAGACACTTATAGCAATGTCCAAAAAATAGTCGAAAATCGCGAAAATAAAATGGATACCGGCGTTGGATCGAGGCCATTTCTTACAAGCTTATGTATCTCGTGGAGGGTCAGAAAGGGGGCAAATTTTAATTTTGTAGCTCCAACGGTTAGTGACTTATTCAGGAAAAACCAAAAGACGAGAACGGAGAACGGAAAAAAACAGACAAAAAGAAAAATATATTGTCTTTATCAAAGCGATATTGTTCCTACCTAGGATAAACTAAAAAATAAGCTAGGAGAAGGTGAAACCAATGTAAATAAATATAGGCCGTGCCACCCCCTACAGAGTTATTTGTCAAACGGGATGTAAGTACCGCAAAATAGACAAAAGGCTAGTAGTAATGGAATCACACAGAATACGCACGTGGACCTTTAATCACATTGAAAAAAATAAAAGATACAGATCCATAATTTACATAAATGAAACATGGTTCGATACACGCGACACCGTATCCAGTCAAAGCTGTCTGACGGAATAAAGGAAAACGCATCGCCATAATACACGATGGGGCATAGAGCATTTGCGAAACCAAGTAAAATCAAAGGTCAGGGCAAAAAATGTTGCCCCTACTTGAAGTCCCAGTGTGCTAAATTGACAACTGGAAAAATTCAGTACAGCACAACAGAACAACATAAATCCAGTTATAATTAATTTTAGTGACGACTCTGACAGTGAAACAGAAGTAAATTTGGTAATTTAGAATAAAAATGTAATTATATATAAATATTCCTAGTTATGAATTTATTGCATATATTTAACGTCATTGTTTTTTCTTAGTGTGATACCGTCCGTCCCTAATGTTTTGTCCTCTAATACCTATCAGACCCGAGTTTTGCAGTTGAAGATTGTTCTGTATGCAAGTCGGTTTGTTTGGTTTCACTTCTATAGCCAATTTCTCGCCAGCCTTAAAACCAAGTCACACTCGAGTAAGATCACGTCAAGTGGACCCCCCATTTCCACTTGATCATAAAAATTTAATCTATATATATATATATATATATATATATATATATATATATATATATATATATATATATATATAACATTTCTTGATTAATAAAAAATGTGATTAACGCTTATTTTTACAAGTATGCCATGAATATTAGTTACTATGGCAACCATTGTTATCGCAGTTGTTTTAAGTGCAATTACAAACAATAGATTTCAACTATTTTAGTATGATTTTATTTATTATTTTTTATCGATTTAGTTCTGATAACATGATAAATAAATGAAAAAACAGTAAAATACCTACAAGTTAATAACCAAAATTATTATTGCAATTAACTACATAATAAGACATTTCAAAAATTTTGTTCAAAATTATGTCCATCTGCTCGAACACAACTACCAAAAACTTAACAGATGAGCTTGGGTCACTTGTAGGAGAGTCCTTCTTGTGATAGCGGCACACGCTGCACTAATTTTGTTAATGAGATCAGCCATATCTTCGATAGGTTCTTCATAGATAACGTTTTTTAGGTAGCCCCAAAGAAAATAATCTGGTGGTGTAATGTCCGGAGACCTCGCCGGCCACCTTACCGGTCTATTAGTACCAAACCATCTATTGGGATATTCTCGGTTCAAATACCTCGTCACTATTTGGGCATTATGTGCAGGCGCTCCATCCTGCTGGAGCCACATATTCATTCTAGTGTCAAGAGGCACTTCTTCTAATAGTTCCGGAAGTGTAGTTTGAAGAAATCTTAAATAGCGATCTGCATTTAAAGTTCCTTCGTAAAAGTAAGGTCCAATAAGGAATCCATTTAATATGCCGCACCAAACATTGATACTAAAAATTCGTTGGTTACCTCTTTCTGTAATCCAAGAGGATGGTTTTCGGACCAAAAACGACAGTTGTGTCTATTAACGATTCCATTATTTTGAAATCGACTTTCGTCGCTCCACAAAATTTTCGAGAGAAAATTTGCATCTTGGCTACAC